ATCTTAGGGTTAGACACCAATTTATATGCCAATTTTCCAAGGTTATTATACCAATTTATATTCCCACAAAAAATATAAGGGAATTCCATTTGTTTCACATTCTCGCACTTGGTATTGTTCTTTTAATTTTAGCCATTCTGACAAAGGTGTAGCAATATTTTATTATTATTTTTATACACATTTCTCTTTTGACTGAGTGCCTTTTTATATGTTGATTTTATATGCTTATAGTCATTTGGTTATCCTCTTTTGTAAAGTGCCTATTGGGGTCTTTTGCCCACTTAAAAAATTGAGTTACTTTTTCTTACTGATTTGTAGAGTGAATGAGTTGGGTCCTGTGTGAGGCAGATACCAATATGAAATGATCAGTGCAAGAGATATACATGAAAGAAAAAGGGGAGAGAAAGAAAGAATAGGCAGGAAGAGTCTTCAGATACAGGTCTGACACTTGTGAAAAGGGAAATGGAAGAATTGGATAGTAGAATCAGATTGGCATACATCTCTAAGAAAGTCTCAGCCAGCCCAGTAAGGAGCTCTGACACAACGACTCCCCAGAGAGAAGTCCTGTACTCGCTAGAGATAGCAAGTCCTTGTCCCACAACTGTGCTCATAATTGGCTAGGTGCTTCCAAGGAAACATGTGGCCTTGGCTTGCAAGCTGAGGTAGATCCTCTCTAGAAGGGAGATCTGAGCAAAGTAACTTCATGGATGCCACAGAATTCTTTACCAGATGTATGTATTGCAAGTATCTTCTCCCAGTATGTGCCTTGCCTTTTTATTCTCTTAGTGACACCTGTTAGTTAATTTTAATTAAGTCCAATTTATCTATCTTTTCTTTGGTAGTTATTGCTTTTTGTATAATGTTCAGGAAGTCTTTGCCTTTCTCAAGATCATGAAGATATTCTATGTTTTCTCCTAGAAGTTTTATTATTTTGCTGTTCACATTTAGTTCTATGATCCATTTTAAATAATACTTTGGGTATGGGTGTAAGTTGGGGTCAGCTTTTATTATTTTCCAGATGACAGATTTGTTCCAGCACTAGTTAGTGAAAAGGCCTTTCCCCCACACCATCTGCAGTGGAGACTGTTATAAACAAGAGACTGTATATGTATGGGTCTGTTTCTGGATTTTCTAATCCAGCCCATTAATATCTAAACTTGTGCCAATATCACACTGTCTTAATTCCTGTAGTTTTATAATAAATGTGGGTATCTGGTAATGTACATTCTTCAGCTTTATTCTTCACTATTGGCTTGGCTATTCCAGGACCTTGGCAATTCTACATACACTTGAGAATCACCTTGTCAACCCCAACAATATGCTGGGGTTTTAGCTGGGATTCACTAAACCTATGGATTAATTTGCAGAGAACTGACATTTAAACAATATTAAGTCTTTCAATCCATGAACATGGCATGTCTCTGGGGAGGAACTTCTAGGCAGAGGAGAGAGTAAGTACAAAGGCAGATGGATAAGAAACCACACGGCTTATGGAATATGAGCAGCTACGAAGCAGTTCAATGCTGTGGAAGAGCGCAAAGCATGGAATGCAGAAGATGAGGCTGAAGAAAGAAGTCTGATATGCATTCATACAGAAGATTCAAGCAGCAATGGATCTGAATAGGTTTGAATGGCTTTCAAAGGGGACAAAAGTGTAGGTGGGCATAATAGGTGACCATTCCAGTTTAGGTGAGATATGATGAAGATTTGAACTTGGACAATGGCAATAAAGTGGAGAAGAAATGGATTCATATTTTATTGGTAAAATTTGCAGGACTTGGTGACTGGATGTTGTGGGGTTGATGGGAGATGCTAAAAGTCAAAGATGGCTCCCAGCTTCCTGACCTGTATCTGGGTAGATGGTGGTACAAGAAATATGGGGTAAGAGTGCACTTGGGAGAAAAGATGTTGAGTAGGTTGAGTTTGGGATGTCTATGGGGCTCCCAAGAGAGGAGTACCTGACACAGAGTAGATATTTGTTGAACTGAACACCAACAACAACTGGCGGCCCTTGAGGAAAAACAACATGTGCTATTCTTTTCTATAAGCCCCAACAACTAGCTGCTTATCATCTTTACAGTAATAAATTTTTTCACCAGCATAAGTCCCCCCAAAATCAAAATCACCACTTACCCTTGCTGGTTTTAGTCCATCCATTACCTTGTCATGTAATCTTTCTTTTTCAAAAAATTAAGCATATCCTGTACAACTAAAATATTTTCACTTTTCAGGTGTGGACTGAATCTTTCAAGAGGGGGTTCAGCTACTTTAAAAAATAGTGAAAGGTCGGGGGGTGCCCAGGTGGCTCAGTCGGTTAAGCATCTGGCTCCTGGTTTTGGCTCAGGTCATTATCTCAGGGTGGTGAAATGGAGCCACAGTCAGGCTCAGTGCTCAGCAGGGGGTCTGCTTCTCTCCTTCTGCCCTGCCCCCAGCTCGTGCTCTCTCTCTCTTTAAATAAATCTTAAAAAATAAAATAAAATAAAGGGGCACGCCTGGGTGGCTCAGTCAGTTGGGCTTCTGACTCTTGGTTTCGGCTGGGGGTCGTGATCTCCAGATCGTGGGATCGAGCCCTGTGTCAGGCTCCAGACTCAGCATGGAGTCTGCTTGGGGTTCTCTCACTCCTTCTCCTTCTCCCTCTGTGCACAGCCCCACCCCCAGCTCTCATGCATGCAGGTACACTCTCTCTCAATAAATAAATAAAATCTTAAAAATAAATTAAAAAAATAAAAAAAGAAATAGTGAAAGGGTTTAAAAAAAAACTTTTAAAGAGGTGAGATGGGGCACCTGGGTGGCTCAGTCCATTAAGCAGTTAAGCTTAAGTGTCTGCGTTTGGCTCAGATCATGATCCCTGCTCAAAGGGGAGCCTGCTTCTCCCTCTCTGCCGCTCCCCCTGCTTATGCTCTCTCGCTCGCTCTCTCCTTCTCTCTCAAATAAATAAATACAATCTTAAAAAAAAATAAAAAGGGGGAGATAATAAAACCCATAATAAAAGGGGAGATAATAAGCTTAGTCATGTGACAAATAAAAATAGCCCTGGAAGTAAATATAAACATGCTGTCCTATTAGTGAGAGTTAAATAAGTCAGTGTCTTTGAAAAATAAAAGATAAAACTTAGTTCAAAATTCTGTAGTTTTACTAAATCTCTTTAGCTGCAACTTGTGATTTTATAGATTGGAGTGGTTTTAGAACTGAAGTCTGCAACTGGCACAGACTCTTGTTTGGTGCAGAACTCCTCAGTAAACAAACATTATTATCCCCTATTGAGTTCAAGAGGTGCCTAAAATCAATCAGTTTCTGGGGGTGAAATATAAATAAATACAAGCAAAATATTCTCCATTCTTATTTGTCACTCACCTTCTTAATGGATTCTTAAAAATCTCTCCTCAGTTCTCCCTTACAGCTCTAACATTGGGGGTTGTAAGGGTAAATACAAGTTTAAAAAATTAAATTAAAAAATTTCCCTGGTCCCCAAAAGGACAAGAAACTTCACCTCCTTTCTTTTCATTCAGCAATTTCTTTAGAAAAATCAAAATTGTAAATGATTTCTCTATTTGAGATGTTATGTACACCTTTAAAAAAGCTAAGTAAGCCTCGCGCCAGTTTTGAATCCCCCTAAGGTCTTTCTTGGGGGCCTTGAATTTACCTCTTTGAAATGCAAGTATTAAGGACGACGGTACCCCGCCCCCCCTCCACCTCCCTGTCTTTGTGGGAGTTTAAATCTCAGCTTTTGGTTTCCAGATATAACTTCGTATTATTTTTTCCTTTGGATAAAGACAACAGGTCTCTCATGGCTTTATCTGCCTGCTACATAAACAAATGAGATTTTTTTTTTGTCTTTATAATCTCTTCAGTGCTTCACAGCATGTTTTAATGCTTATTCAATAATAAAATTGTTTCATTGTTTTCTACTCTTCGTGGAGGGTTTTTATATTAGGAGATTTTATTTTTAATTATTTCCCCAACTGGTCCTCCAGTTTCCGCACTTACATAGCTGGCTGATAATCCCCATTCCCTCTCCGCACTTCTTTTAGGCAGTAAGGTATAGTGGAAAGAGCATGGAGTTAGACAATCCTGGATTTAAACTGTGCTTTTCTTGTTACCAGAACTTAACTTCTCCGAAGTATTACTTAATTCTCTGAACCCCCATTACATCATCTATAAAAGTAGAATGTTATAAATGAGGTAAATAAACTGACACACAGGAGAGTCTTAGCCCATGGAAGAAGCAAAGTTGTACTAGATTCCCTCCACACTAAACTTTCGTCCCACTCCCCCTTTCCTCGTGGGTATCTGTCAAATACTAAAACAGCGTTTCCTTCACTAATCCTGAGCACACTGCGTCATAAGGCAACGAACTGGAAGCGCGGATCTTAAGAGTTTAAAAAGTTTTCTTAGGGTAAAATACGTAATGCTGACAGAGCCTTCGTAGTTCAGACAGAATGGGGGAAAATCAGACTGCGGGGGTCCCCAAATGCAAATACGTGAATTACAAATGAACACAGGCGCCAGCGGCTTCCGCACTTCCCCTGCCGGGCGCACGGGGACGTCGGCGCTGCGCCGCCGGCCCGCGCGGGGGCGAAGATTTGCATGTACGAAATTGGGAAGAAGGGGAACCACCCATCGAAAACCCCGAGCCGCCGTCCGCCTGGGCCCGGGAGAGCCAGCCCCACTTCGCCGGCCGGCCCGACCCCAAGTGCTCCCAGGCGGCCGGTGCCCTGGACGGCAGCGCACCCTCCCACCCGCTCCTGAACTTTAAACCACGCGCCTAAGAACAACCTGGAGGAGGGGGATTTCTCCGGAGTCGGCGGCTTTCGCACGCTCGGGACAGTCACCGCCCGGCTCCCAGCGTTCCCTGCGCTCCCGAAGATCCCGCCTCCCGCTGCCCGGACCCAGTCTCAAAGCCGGGGGCGGCAGGGGCGGGGCGCGGGGCACGGACGGGGCGGGACGCGGGCCCCGGGGAAGGCGGTGGTGCGGGGCCTACGTCAGTCGCGGGAAATCCCCCTCCCACCCGGCTGCTTGCCTCTAGGCCCGGCCGGCGCTCGGTTCTCGCGGCGCTCCGCCCCCTGCCCCTGGCTCCCGCACCTTGGACGGGAGAAGCCGGGTGATCCGGAACGCGAGAATTAAGGGGGTGGGAAGGTGTGAGCCGCAAACCCCGAGGAGGGCGGGAAGGAGGAGGAGGCCCCGTGGGGTGGTCAGGCGGCCTGGGGTCCCGCCGGCAGAGTCCCTCCGCCGCCGGACCGACGCGGGCTGATTGTGGCGGCCTCGGGTCGGACACTTGGAGAGTGCGGCGCGGTGAGCGGAGCCATGGCCTCGGGTGAGTGTTTCAGGCGCGGGTCCGGGCCGCGGGAGGGAGCTCGTCCGGGGGTCTTGCAGTTCAGGGTGTCGGGGTCTCGGTTTCGGTTGTGTGCGTTCTGTCCTTAAAGTCGTCTCACCTGGCAAATTGTCAGCCTTTAAAAAAGTTACCTGGCACGGGGCTTGCGTGCGAAATCAAAGTCACGCTCTGTATTTTGATGCCATTATAATAGCCGGGACCTTAGAAATTCCCAACGACTTGATTTTTAGGATTAGGGAAGTAACACGAATCTAAATGAGGACGCAGAGTTCTCGTATTTAAAAATTGATTTATATTGAAATGGTGGTTTTATGTTTTAGAACAGGAATGAAGAACCTTCAGACCTCAGGACTGCTCTCCTTTTTTTAGTTTAATCAAGTGCCGGGAGGTGATCGCTGTATGTGTTGACAGTTGTGCAAAATGTGGTGCGGCTTTAAAAGTCACCAGTGGTATCATAACGGGTCTTAAGTTGCTTCAACAAAGTGGATAATTTCTACTATAAAGCGGGTACTTTCTAGTTTACGTAGAAGTCATTTTTTTTCTTTGTTGGAAGAAAAGGGGAAAGGAGTATTGGAATGTCCGTGCTTTAAAATAGGAGTAGAAATGAAAACTTTACATCACTAACGTAACAATTTATTTTCAGTTAACTGATGCGTAGATCTCTTGCTTTGGGGGGAAACGAGTTTACCAAGAAACAGGTTAGAGGGCAGGGGAGGGAGTCTCATATATATAGCCGTGGTTTAGATCTGCCTGTAACCTAAAGGGAAGTAAATCAAGTAGACTGTGTTCGAGTTGGACCTTTACAGGATCCTGGCAAGGTTCACGGGACCCTTTCTCGGCAGACGGAGCAGCGTGAGCAGAGGCAGGGAGGCCTTGTAGGGCAAGTTAGCGGTATACTAGGAGGCTGAAGGTTTTGGGGGACCTGTTTATGCTTGACCCGCGTCCTCCCAAGACCCTGGTTCAGTGACCCTCAGAGGCTGATGTCTAGCTGAGAAGAGGAAGTAGAAAGCATTAAAGGATTTTTTTTTTTTAAGGGGTTGAGCAGAACAATGCCATAGCTACTGCTGTAGGTCGAAAAGGAAATTGGGGTGGTTCACATGACATTTGATTTCAGTTTGTCTGTGGTTTTTTATGTGAGAATACAAGTGTAGTTTAAAATATTTCAACTTTCTCTTTACCCACTTCAGTGACCCCAAACTTTCAGATAATTTTGTAAATTTATAATTTAAAGGCACGTTTAGATTAAAAGTGCAAAGATGATCTGAAATATTTGGCTAATTTATTGGATGACAGAAAGATTTTTTATGAAAGTAGTAAAGAATGGTAAGCATTATAAGTAAAGAAGGTCAGACTGCTGGCAGTTTAACCAAACTTCATTAATATGTGGCATGAGTGTAATACTTCTAATTCTTTTAAAAGAGAGAAAAGAACTATTTACATAAAGGTAAGACCCACATTATTAAAAAATGTGATACGATTTAAATTTGTTTAATGGTACTATATTTTGTGCTGTTGTGAGGACTGATTCCCTAAATTGAAGGGGAAAAAATTTAAAGGAATGGAAAGTTGTAGGGTAATTATCTTTTTTTTTTTTTTTTGCCTTTTCTGGAGTTGCATTAAAATGGGACTATTTAAAATATGACAGATTATTTAAATTGTAATTCAGTTGTTTGAAAACTGCCAAGGAAATTTTTAAAAAGGAGTCTGGGAGTATTTTTCTTAATCACTTGTAAAGGCCTTAGAGAAAAAGATTCAGTAAATTATAAATTCTTATCCTGTTTTGAAACAGTAATTGAACTGAAAGAGTAATAGGAAAAAAAATTTTGCTTAATTAGTTATCATTGTCTAGTTTAGATTATTTGTAGTAAGGTAGTAGTAAAACCTCAAAAAAGTATTTTTATTGATTACCAGGCACTTTAGACCATTTCTTCTTTTCTCACCGGATGTCATATGTAAATAGGTATGTGTAGCTGGATTTGTTATCTGTAAAATAACAAACGTAGAATGTAAAAGTAACAGATCATAATCTCATTAGCAAAAATTTAAGTACCATGAGTAATGGGGAATTTAATATATAGATATATAAAAATTATATATATGTATATGATTCTATATGATTCTAAATTTTGTTCAGGTAAATTACCAAATTATTTAGGATTTCACAGATCGGGTTCTATTAAGCTGTCTTTATTGCCTTTTTTTTTTTTAACACCTTGATTTCTGTCTTGTGACACAATTAATTAGAACAGGTACTGTTAAGAAAAATGTTCCCTGTCCCATGTAGGGTATGCATAGGCAGTCACTACTCTTGTATATTTATGATTCTGTTTTGTTTAAGTAAAATTAGCTATTTTGTCTGAATTTAAAGCTTCTCATTGTTCCTGTAGAAAGTGCAAAATATTCTTATGCAGAGATAGCTCTGTTTACTTGTAAGTATGGTAAAATATGTTTTAAAATTTGATAATTGATTTTTATTCACAGTGTTCTTTAGTATAGATGTTGTGTCATAGAATAGGAAGTACATGAAGAAATTGTTTTTGTAAACCACACTACTTCCAACTCTGTGGTATGAATTTCAAGAGAACTATAAGTATTTCTTTTGAGTAAGGGGGAAAAAAATCAGTGTAATTATGATGCAACTTAATCATTAACGATAGAGCTGGAAGCTGGAATTGACAACTAAAGCAAATGACTTTTTTTAAGTAGAAGACTACACACTATAAACATGAAGGCTGTTTCCAAAATGTGGCACGTGAAAATGTAGAGACAACAACTGTATAAAAGGATTAAGGTGATATATGTATGATAGGGTAAAGGGAATGAGTGAGTGAAATGGCTAAGGAGGAATCGTGATGAAACAATATTGGGAACATCTGGGGTGTGTGTATTATCTTTCCCAAATACAATATAAGAGGCCCAGAATTTCCTTTTGTTCCATCCTTCTCTCATCTGTGTTCTCTGCATATGATCGGGTTTGTAGGCACATGACCCAAATACTTGCATGGGACATACTTAACTAAAAGAATTTCTTTGTTTAATTCATTTTTAAGTAGGCATCCTGTAATTTTTATTTTTAAATCTGGCAATCTTAATCAGGATAGATGAGTTGGTACTGCCATTTATTTTTAAGTTGATTAAATACCTGAGTAATCTAGGACAGATTTTAAATATTTCTCTGCTTTTTCATTCTGGAAGTTAACATTTTTTTCAAGATTCCCTCTCTCCCCACCGTAATGGAATCTCTAGCAGTAGAATCTCTGTTGTGAAACTCTTGCATCTTTTATTTACCTTGTGGTGCGTACATCAGCCAAATACTTGTCTGAAAATTCCCTTACTTGGATGCTTAAGACTTATTTGAGAGTCAGCCTCAGAAATTGGAGTAAATCTGGACTTTAGCCCATAATGAACCTGGTTTTATTCCAGTTCTGCCACTCTGTAATATAAAAATGGGAATAACTACTACAACATCTTGTTTTGAGGAACAACAGAGACAATTCATGCCCATAAATGTTCGTTTTCTTATGTAGTGGAGCTGTTTGGAGACTCAGACCTCTAGGAAACAGGAGCTACTAGAGGTAGTTGGCACTCACTATTGTTTGAGTATCCTGACATTCTAGAATTCTGTGAAACCTTCAAAACTTGCAATAATAGGCTAGAATAGATGCTAGACAGAAAATCGTCTTTCAAGACTTTGAGAATGTGCATTTACTTTTAAATAATTTGGAATGGTTTTCTGTATTTTTAAGCTAGTGGAGAAAAGTTTGACAGTGATGTTTGGAGGCAGTGTATCTTTTCTCTTTTGTCCGCTTAGATGATAGTAAACATTCTGAAAGAAAGTAAATAAAAAATTTCTTAGTAGATAGACCATGTGTCCTTTTACTAATTTGATTGATACAACTTATCCTTCATTTGATTTCTTTTGCACCTTCTGTGTTAGTCTTTTTCTATCATGTGGGAATAGGCTTAAGTTTTCATTGCCCCTTTGTTAATTGAATGCCATTCTATCTATGTGAGAAATGGTAACTCTAAATTTTGATCATTATTAGGAAGAAACGGAAGAAGTGTGTCTTAAGGTAAAGAAGCTTATCACCACGATTCAGATGGGTTCCTAGGTTTGAGGAATGATGAATAGATCTTATTTTCTTTTTCTCCAAAGTAAGTGAAAGTGATACTTAGAAAAGTATATATTGTTAGCTCCATCTGCTCCTTTGGCTCTCAGGCAGACTATTATCCAGTACTTCTGCAAGGGAGATGCAGTCTGCAGTCAGTCTCAGCTGTGGTGTTGATACATTAGCGTGTGATCATTTGCTTGCCGTATTTTAAGAAATGTTATGATAATTACAGTATTAATTTTGCAAACAATTTACCTTTTAAATAAATTGGTGTGATTAAAGGCTATCCCTATCATAATGCTTTTTTCCCTTGCTTATATTTGGCTAAGCTTTTTAGGGTGGGAGAAAAAAGAGTTAAAGTCGTCAGAATTAAAAAAAAAAAAAACAACAAGTCAGATTTTCCTCTGCCTAGTTTGTCACCCAGCCCATACTTGTACATGAATTTTTGGATTGCTTTTCTGGATATGTGCATTTTTTCTGCTTCTTTATGTTTTAGGGCTCTGGTTCTTATTCAGGAGTGTGTTAGAATTGCTTGGAAGGCTTTCCCAGAAATATGTCGGGGCTTTAAAGATTTCTATTTCTATTCAACAGATTACAAGTGGGATCAGGGCGTGTATGTTTTTTGAAAAAGCTTCCAAAGTGATTCTAGTATACACCCCCACTATGAACTCTGTTCCAGGAATTTCATTGGATCTAAATATTCACTTGCCTATTCCAAGATGCATTATCTTCTTAAACGAAGTTGTATTTATTTTAGGTTATTTGCTGTAATAAGTTATTGTGACTTTACCTCCAGCTGTTTTATGCTTTTTTTAAAAAAATTTGATCTATTGGGATCCCAGCTATCATATTTGCTAATCTCATTCATAATTTCTTTTTCTTATGACTTCATAATTTTGAAATTTATCATCTATAAAATGGGAGATAATACCTGTTCTGTTTTTATGAAGATTAAGGTTAAGAGGATCAAATGAGAATATATGTAAAAGTACCTTAAAACAGTATTATAATTACTGTAATTAATTTTTTCCTGAACAATTAATGCTGGTTCCTGGTGCTAGCCATAAGGTTTTAATTAATGTGTGTATTTCTGACAATTGAGACTGCATTTTTAACTTTTTTTTCAATGTAGTTTTTTAGTCTTAAAAACTCAAATAGCACTCTTTTTCTGCTTAAGTGCAAATAAAAACATAAATATATCTTGCAAACATTTTGGCTGTATTTGAAATGTTATTCTGGTCTGTATTAGCATTTTACAATATTGTTAAAAATGTAGGGGTCAATCCCAGCTTTGCATAGTATTGGTTAAAAAAAAGTACAGTAGACAACTTGCTTAACCACTTTGAAGAAATTTCAGTACTTTTCAAAACTGTAGTGATTTGAGATAATCTTAGTTAAGAGTACTTATTTTCCCTGCAGTTCTCTGATTTACATTTTACCTTCTTCCACTCCATACAAAACTACAGTTCAGCACTCTATCTTAAGGAAGAATGGCACTTCAAAACACAGTGCTAAGGGAGGAAATAACAGGTACATTATACTGATGCATGACATAAATGATTTATAGCTGGGAAGTATTTTTAAATCATAAATACAGATAAATTAGACCATGAATAGGTATGAAGAGTAGAAAAGTGTAGCAATTCTAATACCTACAAAGCACTATTTTTTTCCATAGTAGTGGAACCTAATAAGGAAAATCTGATTAATCACTAATACGATCCTTCGATGTTTGTATAACTTACACAAACAAAAAGATTTTTAGATTTTCAGTTATTCACTCCCCACATATTTACTGAATATCTATGTGCACGGCACTGATGAGTAAGTCACAATTCCTGCCTTCAAGTAGCTTGAAAAGGAATAAAACAAGTAGCTTGATGAAATAAAACAAGGAGCTTTTTCAAGAAGAAATAAAACAGTGAGTCTCCCCTAAATTATAGTTATCTGGAATAATTGTCATGAACAAAATACTATGGTAATTTAGAGGAGGGGGAGATTATTTCCAGCTGGGGGAATATGAAATATTACAATAACATATTACCTGGTTGATAATGAGAGTTTTTACCAATAAAGAGCTTGTACAATAGGAAGAATAGATTTCAAAGGTTTTGTAAGTACTTGATATTATATGATCACTAATATTTGTCGTTTTTATAACTTCACATCTTTAAAAATTCTTTTATCTTTTAACAACTGCTTTTCGGTTCTCTTGCCTATAGACTTTTCTCACAAATACTTTCTAGTTTAAGGAAGTGTTGGGTAACCAATGAAATATTTGAAAAATCCCTACGAGCCTAGCACTTTTATTCACACTCTTCCCCCAAAAGTTAGCCACTTACCATTAATGATGTAATTCTCTATCAACTTCCCACCAAGACACCTTTAAGTAGTGGGCAGGGATTTATTTGACCTTTAGCTAAAGCACATAAATTATTTAAGATATAACTTAAAAAATACTGTTGAGTATTTCGAACTATTGAGAGGAAAATGTACTTTCTTTTAAATACTCCTGCAATGATATATAAGGATGTGAAATACTTGGAGCTGAAATGTGAATTTGAGCTATTCATAATATATAAGGATATGTGAGTATGTGACAGGGAAAAATGAAAGACATCTGCATGCCTTACATTTTTCAGTAAAGTTGAAATAAGTATTACGAACGTGAGTAGGTTGAAGTCCGGTTTCCCTGGCTCTACCAGTAACTTTCCTCAGTAACCCAAAGTAGAAACTGTGGAGCCTCAGTGATTCCTTCCTTGCTCCTAACCCTAATGTTCAGTCAGTCGCCAGGAACTGTCAATTTTATTGAAATAATCCTGCAGCCCTGCTACCACTACTAGACGTCAGACGTGCCCTCACTCTTGCCCACAGTACTGTCAGCCTCGAAACCGACCATCAGGCTCTCTCCTTTTCAGTCCGTCCACTGCCGCCAGCGTTCTTACTCTAAAATGTCAGTCCAATCATATGATTCTCCTGCATAAAGCCCTTCATTGATTCTTTGTCACTCGTGGAATAACATCCAAATCCCTAATGTCCTTTGTACTTTGTACAGATTTGTACAGATCACAAATGTGCTCTGGCTTTTGGTTTCAAGGGTAGAAGTGTCCTGCACTTCCACTGTGGCTTCATTGGTCATTTGTAAACTCTTCCTCTTCTATGCTGCTACGCCTTTGGACACACTGTTCCCTTTCACTGGAAGGCCTTCCCCTTCTACTCTCCCCACCTTTTTGCTTCATTAACTCTTTTTTCTTTGATTTGACACAGGCATGCCTGATTCTTTTGCTTTTACTATCAGTTTATGCACACTTTTGTTAGCATAAACAAAATTTTGTTTTGCTGGACTCTTCTGCAGTCTAATAATTTGTGTTGTTTGCCTCCCTGTTCTATAAAATTCTTGAAAGCACCAGTTGTTATACCATCATGTTATGTGTCACTATAAATCATTTTCAAGAAAGCATCTGAAACAATAGTAGACAACATTTATTGAGTATTTGTCATAGGCGTGATACTTGATAAGAATTGAACACACACTACCTTGATCCTCACAACACGAGGTAGGTGCTATTATTATTCCCATTTCATAGATTTAGAGACTTAGAAGATACATTTCCAGGGTCCTTGCTATGAAGATATGGCTAAGTAGGACTCAAAAGGCCTCTTCCTCACACTGTACCAATAAGACCCATTGTGTTACCCTTTCTAAAGATTTGCTTGCATTCTAACAGAGGATAAGTCTTTAGTCAGAGAAATGGATTATCTAATTGTGGGAATTTAGAAATCACTAAACTGATGGAAGGAAAATGGGGTTTTTTTTTAATGGAAGACATCTTCATACCCCTGAAATAAAGACGCATTGCCAAGTACTCTACTTGTAAGCACACTTGAGTATCTTCATTGAATTTTTCATTTCTATAGAATGGATAATAAGAAGGGTAAAGATGCATATGTTTTAGACAACTTTACTGACATATAATTAATGTATAATATATTGCACATGCTTAAAGTTTGCAATTTGATAGCTTTTGACATATGAATACAACCTTAAAATCATCATCACAATCAAGATAATTAACATATCCATCATCCCCCTGACTTTCCCCATCCATTCCACACCCCTGTTCTTAGGCAATCAGTGATCTGCTTTTTTTGATTATAGATTAGTTTACATATTCTAGAGTTTTATATAAATGGAATCCTAGAGGATGTGCTCTTTTGGTCTGGCTTTCAGTCAGTGTAACTTTTTTTAAATTGGGAGTATAGTTGACACATAATGTTACATTAGTTTCAGGTGTATAATGTATACAATTCATCCATGCTGTGTAGATCAGTTCATTCTAAAGTTCCGTATTTTGAATTACATCTGTTATAGAAAGTAATTTATTTTCTTCTTTTGTGTCTTCAGTAGAGATTTAGATGGAACTGATTGAAAATTCTGTTGAGCTTAAAATGAACACTTCTGGAACTTGTTTTGATGTTCTCTGTATCAATCCTTTTAAGATTCCAGTGGAGATATTAAAAAAAACACATCCTTCTGCAAGGATTTAAATGCATTTTCATTTTCAATTAGCAGTCTTTTAGTCCACTGTTAAGGGTCTAATGTAAAATCAAGCAGCTCCACTCACTTTTGGAGTATGATATTGTACTTTTGCAGACTATCTTCTTGACCCTTCTGGGGGAATCTTGAGGGATGTCCTTGTACTTGGTCTTAGCGTGAAAAGTGAATATCTCTGAAGTGGGGATCTCAGAACTTCACGCTGGCATTAGCTCTTGACGTTAAATGATAAAGTGCTAACCAATAAATATGACTTGAGTGACTTGTGTTAACACTGTATAGGAGCTCAGTATGAATGGGAGAAGAGGCACCTTTACCATCCAATCTTGGGTAATTACATTTCAACCTTATTATTTAATATTGGGAGGGAAAATTTTTTAGTCTGCTATTTTGAAAAAAAACCAAAATGGTCAAATCCATTATTACTGCTATCCTAATCTCACCCTCCTCCTTTTTTAAATTTTCAGGTGGGTATAACCCATGTATAGAGATCATTGAACAGCCCAGGCAGAGGGGCATGCGTTTTAGATACAAATGTGAAGGGCGATCAGCAGGCAGCATTCCAGGGGAGCACAGCACAGAGAACAACCGAACATACCCATCTATCCAGGTAATAGACCATTCTCCTGTGTTTATCTAACTCTTAATTGCTCCATATTTTATCTATAGCAATTACATGAAAGGCCCAGTTTCTTCACAGTGTGCTCTCATTTCCTCTGTGCTTATATGTATACTCTCAACGGATATTTATGATTCGACAGTGAATATAAGAGTATGGCATTCAGTGGCCCAACATCCAAGTATTTTCTCTCGCTCTGTGATAATATTTTGGTATAGCTTGTTTTAAAAAGAAAATAAGCAGAATCAGATGAAAGTAGTGCAGAAAATAATATGCCAAGGAACAGAGAGGTAAATTCTTCCCTTCTGGTATTCACTGGAAGGTTCCATCCAAACAGTATTTGCCAGTCAGTTGGACTTTATTTATCTAGTGCTAACTACATTATATAAATTGAACTCTCATTTAGTAGGTCAGTTCTGAATGAGATAAATTTATGGATCATATATTTAATTTCCCCCTTTTTCAGATTATGAACTATTACGGAAAGGGAAAAGTGAGAATTACATTAGTAACAAAGAACGACCCATATAAACCTCATCCTCATGATTTAGTAGGAAAAGACTGCAGAGATGGCTACTATGAAGCAGAATTTGGACAAGAACGCAGACCGTTGTTGTAAGTACACAGTCACAGACATCTTTAGGAATAGGATAAGCAGAGGATGCTCTGTTTCCTGTACATGTACATCTGTTATTTCTTAGCAGGATAAAGTAATTTCTCATTCTACTTCTGTTTACTGTAGTATACATTTAAATTTTCTTACCAGTTGTAATAGAACTACCCTTTTATTCTTTATTAGTATACACAGCCCATGATGGTAGCAGGAATACTTATTTATTGCTACTAAAGGTAAACATAAACTTATTTTACGCTGTGATTTTCTTTCTTAGTGTGAACAATCTCTGAAAAGTTTTCTTTCATATATTTTTACTTTGTCCTTTCATTAATAGTTAAAAACTACCAGATATGAGAGAAGCGAATGGAAACCTGGAATTATTATTTAGAAAAGGACAGGTTATAAAAGTAACATGACAAGATAAGAAAAAGGATGTAACACTTTGTTGTTGGTTAGGCTGCCACAAGATGGGTCCATTCATCATGTCGGTGATAGTATAAATTAATAAAATCCTTCTGTTGTAGGCACTTCAACAACTACATAGGAAAAGCCTGAAAAATATGAATGTCTCTTGAACCAGCAATTCTACTTCTAGGAATTTATCCTCAGGAAACAATTAAGCATGTTCAGACATTTAGCTATAGTTAATGTTCGTTGCAGCTCAGTTTGTAATGGCAAAAAGTTAAGAAGCTATCAAAATAATAAACAAGGAGGGATCAGTTAGATAAACTGGTACATCCATGCAGTGTACTCCTGTGTAGCCTTAAAAATAACGTTGCAAATATCTCTTTGTATAAAAAGATATTCACATTATGTGAATAGGTTTTAAAGCAGAATATGTGATAAAAAAATCTTTTAAAAAAAGAGATGTGTACATGTACTTGGTAGTATATACACTAAGGTATTAATAGTGGTTGTCTCTTGGTGGGTAAGACTGGGGTTTTATGTTTTTCTTTTAACTTATATTTATTCTGTGATTCATTTTTTATAATGAACATGTATGGCCTTTGGAAAAAACTGAACCTAATTACAACAAGGAAAATGTTAGTAGCCTCCTTATATATTAATAGTAACTATCTAGAAAATATACTTTAAAAATATTCCTCTTACAATTACAAGACAAAACAAAAAAATATCTAGTAATATACATATGGCAAGAAATATTTCCTATTTATATCCTTTGACCTCCCAACACCATTTTACACTGTGGACCAATCCTTTCTTGGAACATTCTTATTTCTTGATTTCTGTGAGAACAGAGTCTCCTGTTTTATTTTTTCTGGCTGTTCCTTCTCAATCTTAGTTATAGACAGTTAAATTCTTAGTTATGTCCAATAATGCCCTTTATGGTTCTCCTGCTTCTCCTCCCAGTCCAGGACCCTGTTAAGGATCACACACTGTATTCACTTGTCATGTTTATTTAGTTGTCATGATTATTAAAGTCTCCTTTAATTTACAATAGTTTCTCAGCCTTTTTTGGTCTTTCATGACATTAACATTTTTGAAGAGTCTAGGCTACTTGTTTTGAAGATTGTTGTTCAATGTGGATTAGCCTAGTTGCTCGTTTATATTCATGTTACTATGATAACATGAATAATATTTTCATGTTAACATGAAACATTTTGGATGAGAAATCTACAGAGGGGGGGTGCAATGTTGTTCTCAAAATATCCCTTCAGGAGACATGGGATATTAGTGTTTTCCATTGGTGATATTAATTTGCATTCTATTGTAAAGAAAAACTTTCCCCTTTTCCCCTTCCCCCTTACAAAAAAAAAATACCACTGTAGACCCTTGGATTCTTTTTTTTTTTTTTTTAAAGATTTTATTTATTTATTTGAGAGAGAGAGAATGAGAGACAGAGAGCATGAGAGGGAGGAGGGTCAGAGGGAGAAGCAGACTCCCTGCCGAGCAGGGAGCCCGATGCGGGACTCGATCCTGGGACTCCAGGATCATGACCTGAGCCGAAGGCAGTCGCTTAACCAACTGAGCCACCCAGGCACCCCGACCCTTGGATTCTTATATTCAGTGTACTGTAGTCCATTACTGGCATTATTATTTTGATGTTCAGATTGACCCTGATTTGACCAATGCAAGCCCCTTCCTCCTGCTCCCTGTGTCCTTTTGATATGCTTCTATCTTTCTTTGAGCACTTCTTTACTTTCTGACACAGCAAAGTGTTCAGGACTTACTTGTACTTTTCTCGCCCCAGCCCTGAAATCAGTTTTTATAAGGAGCCCTGGTTCCTTTCAGTGGAGAATGGTATTTAGTCTCATTGCCTTTTTGACATATTCTCTTAAATATATCAAAAGCACCTCAAATAGAATATGCCAAACTCTGACTTTACCATGATCATACTTCTTTCTTCTCAATGGGTCTTCCAATGTGCTTTATCTCGGTGGTTGCTATAAAAGCCCCCAGACATACGTATCATCCTTGACACCCCTCACACAGGCACACGCATTGAATTCATTAACAGGTACCTCCTAAATAATTACTGAATCTGTGCACTTCTCTCAGTGATCTCCGTCAGCACCACACTACCCGTAGTCGAAATAAATGTAGGCTGCCAGAATAGCCTCTTGATTGGTCTTCTTGCATCAACTCTTTTTGTACCTTTTCTCCTCAAATCTGTCCTCCACTTGAGCCAAGGTGATCTTTTTTTAAAAATTAGTTTATTCAGAGTGATCTTTTCTTTTTTTTTTTAAAGATTTTATTTATTTATTTGAGAGAGAGAGAATGAGAGACAGAGAGCATGAGAGGGAGGAGGGTCAGAGGGAGGAGCAGACTCCCCGCTGAGCAGGGAGCCCGATGCAGGACTCAATCCTGGAACTCCAGGATCATGACCTGAGCCGAAGGCAGCCGCTTAACCAACTGAGCCACCCAGGCGCCCTGGAGTCATCTTTTCAAATAGAAATCTGATTGTCACATTCCCATTTAAAACATTTTAAGGGCTTTATGTGGCTCTTGGAATAAGGGCAGTATTCCTTACTGGCCTACAGGGTCCACAGGGTCTGCTTGTATTTTTAGCCTTCTATCCTATGCTTCCTTTGAACTCTATACTCCAGTCCCAGGGGCCTTCCTTTAGTTTCCTGTGCTTACAAGACTCTTCTGTAGAGGCCTTTGCTTGTTCTGTTCCTTCTTCCTGAAGTCTCTTTCTCTCCTCATCCCCTCGTTCATTTCTGTTTAAGTACCACTTTGTACAGTAAGCCTCTCTGTCCTTCCTGAATTGATCAACTCTCCTGTCATAGGCTCCCATGACACAGTGTATATCTCCTTTATAAAACTTGTCATGATTTCAGTTTAGCATTTTTTGCATGTGATTATTTAATATGGATCTAAGTGCTTCACTAGACTGGAGGTCAGCAAACTTTCTCTGTTAAGAGCCAGATAGTAAATATTTTAGGCTTTGCAGGCTATATGGTCTCTGTTGCATCTGCTCAATTCTGTTATAGCGTGAAAGCACACATAGACAATATGTAAACAAATCAGCTTGTCTGTGTTTCAAAAAATCTTTATTTAGAAAAATGGGTGGTGGGCCCGGGTATGGTCCATGGGCCACAGTTTGCAAACCTCTGCACTAGGATAAGCCCCTTGAGGAGAGGGATTGTAATGCCCATTACTTTCTAGAGTTTTTGGTACAGAGTAGGAATCCCAAAATTTGTTGAATGACTGAATCAATGAATGAATGAATAATTGATTCAAATAATCTTCATGATCCTTGGTTTCCTCATGTCAGAATTTCAAAAATCCCTACCACTTCTAATATTCTGTGAATAGCAAATACGATTTTTCAGATGAAACAAAATTTAGTGTATAAATATATTAAAATAAATAATTCTTTAAAATCTTTTGTCAAAGAAAAAGTGAGAACCAAGCTATGAATCTTTCAAAGAAGTGGAATACTTTTGAGGAAGAGGATTATGGGTTTCAGGGTTTCGAGAAAGGATTATGAATTCAAGATTTATTTTTTAATTATTGGAGGTAGAGGAAAGAAACGCCAAAGATATTTTAGGTGCTAACAAAATGACAAGTACGGTGAAGGTGCAGAACATAAACACAAGGCACCATGAGATGGAGAGGAGCAAACGAGGCAGGCAGCCTCCTGTTGCCCAAGTGCCATGTGAAGTTTGAACAAATAGTAATGTTATTATAACCAAGTTTTGCTTCCTTATTCACACCCACCCAACTTTAATGATGTCATGGTTTTTCCATGTGGGAACAAGTATGACTGGTGGTGGTAGGGGGGGAGTTCCCCCCACCATCATCTGTGCTACAGATATGCAAATTAGTAATATTTGTAGCTATTGAGAAGTTTTCCATAAATGACATTTTGAAACTTTTGTTAAATATTATTGTTCGTATTAAACATCTTTCTAATTTAAAGATTTTTTTTATTAAACATCTTTCTAATTTAAAAGAAAACATTTCAGTGCTTTTCTTATGAATGATTATTATAATTTCATGTAATATAGCATAAAACATATTCCATTGCTACTAGTAGTGAAGTCAGGGCTCAAAAATCAAATGTCTGTGGAATGGATCAGGTCTAAGAGGACTAGCAGGCACTGTAGTAAATTGGAGAGCCCTGCATAAATGGGGCTGCAGGTGCTGAGCTCCAGCGAGGTGTTCCTGTGTTAGGCTACTGTGGCCAGACCTTTCGAATGTTCAAGAGAAGCCAGAAATCCAGATGTTTATATGCAATTACTGGATTGTTCAATGTTAGTAGTGTGTGCGCATTTTTTTTTTTTTTAAATACAGGCGACACTTTTATGGGCTCAGCAAAACATACCTGTGGGCGTCCTTTTACAACTCTTTTAGCTTTTTGGTATTACTTCCCTGTTAGTCTTCATCTGTTTTGGCGTATTTGACATAGGCACAGGATGTACCCTTGATTTTTGCAGTATTTTTTGTTAAGACTTCATTTATTTGTCCTTGTGTTTAACTATAATACAGTTTGAAAGTTCTGTTTTCCTTCTAGTTTTCAAAATTTGGGTATTCGTTGTGTAAAGAAAAAAGAAGTAAAAGAAGCTATTGTTTCAAGAATAAGGGCAGGAATCAATCCTTTCAATGGTAAGTATGTTTGACAGAATTATTTCTATTATTTGGATATTGACCTATTTGTGCAAGTGAGTTCTGTTTGTATCTTGAACCTGTGCTTTAAAAGCTGTCTTAAGTTTTGTGTTCACTTTTCTGCTTGCTGATGGATACCTGTATCCAAGGAAGGAAGAAGATTTAAAACCTTTCATAGTGTTGGGGAAAAAAATTCTCTGACAGGGCTTTCTGGTATCTGTGGAAAGGGCCATTGTTTTGTTGTTTTCTATAAGAAAACCTCACAGATGTTCTGATTTCTTTTTGAATGTGGCCTTCCGTATGCCATTCCAGCAGACAGTATACGTGACCTTTTCTGAATGTTGAACTGGCACTGTGGTTATTTAAATCAAGGGCATACTCAGCAGCAAAATTTAAATTAATCCCAGGGTGGAAGAAGACGTATAGAAATAGTAGAAGCTATACAAAATATTTTCATAGTGTATTTGTGTATAAGGCTAGGTATTTACTGGTTAGTGGGTTTTGTCAGGGATAGTGTGATCTGGTGTAGCACCTGGCAACTGTAAGCACTCTGTGTTGTTTGAAGAGATGAATGACTACACCAAGCTAAATGCTGGCATCCCACACTAGGGTAGTCTCCACTGTAAAGTCTTCTGCAGCTACTTCAATAGGCATCATTCAGGAACTGAACGACAATAACATTTTCAAAGAATAGATCTCTCCGTCATATTTAAGACATCCTCGTATCATTGGTTTGTGTTTTTCCTGGATGTATAAAAATAATTTAAGGGTTATGAAGATAATTTAAGGAATATGTTCATAACCAAGTGCTGTATTTTTATGAACCATAAGGTCTGCATCTCTTTTCCCTAGGTCTTTATTTTTCATACTATTTAGTATAATGCTGTAAGCAAAAGTCCCCTTCTTCCCCTTCAGTCTTCCTCATCAGAGCAAGATGACTATTAAGTTTGGTGTGTATTTTTTTAGAATTTCCTTTATACATGTATAGCTGTCTCCCTAGTTTAGGAACTTATCATTTCATAGTTTTTACAGTGGAGACTACTGTAGTGTGGGATGCCAGCATTTAGCTTGGTGTAGTCATTTATCTATTCAAACAATACAGAGTGCTTACAGTTGCCATCCCCAGCAAAATCCACTAAAGAGTAAGTATCCAACTGTATACACAACTATATGCATGTATTTTTATATAAATAGAACCATGCTACTGCTTTTTTCTTTTCACTTAGGAATAGATCTTAAGCATCTTGCCATGTTAGTACTTATAAATCTATTTTACTTTTTAACAGAGTATGCTATTGTTTGGATAGACCACAATTTAGCCATCTGTTAATGAACATTTAGGTTATTTTCATTTTATTAAAAAAACTCCATTGAACATATATATATGGAGTTTTTGTGTGATTATTTCCTTAGGATAAATTTTTTTTAAGGTTTTTTTTTTTTTTTAAAATTTATTTAAGTCCTCTCTACACCCAACGTGGGGCTCTAATTCATGACCCTGAGATCTAGGGTCGCTTGCTCTTCTGACTGAGTCAGCCAGGCACCCCTAGGATAAATTTTCAAAAGTGGAAGATTTCTGGGTCAAGAGTGTATGCTCATTTTCATTGCTAAAGTAAAAGCCCAAACTTATAAAGAGTCTATCTGTGTCCAGATGCAGTGTAAAACAGGGATCATGTAGTATAAAAGAAGATCATAAATAACAGCTACCATGTATTATTTTTTGTATGTCAAGGAGTAAATGTTAAGTGCTTTATGTATGCTATGTATTTAGTCATTACAACAACACTGCTTTATAGAAGAGAATCCCAAAGCTTTGGTTATGGTAATTTCCCCAAGTTATGTAGCAAGTACAAGTGGCAGAGCTAGAGTTCAAGTCTAGGTCTCCTGACTCCAGTGGAAAAGGCATTAAGAAAGGAAGATGCAGGAGTCAAGAGGCAGATGGGCCCTCCAGAAGTTTTTTAGGTTTTTGGTTTTTTACCAATCCAGAACCAGGCATGATGTTAATAACACTCATATATCACCTAGAATAGTTCTTAGTACAAAATAAGTGCTTTACATATTTTATTTTATTTAATCTTTAAAAATTTTTTTAAGTTTATTTATTTATTTAAGTAATCTCTACCCTTCAATATGGGGCTCAGACTCACAACCCCGAGATCAAGAGTCGCATGCTCTTCCGACTGAGCCAGCCAGGTGCTCCTTATTTCATTTAATTCTTACAGCAATGTATGAGGTAGGGACTGTTGTTATCTCCATTTTGAAAATAAGGAAATGAAGGCATAGAAAAGTTAAGTAATTTTCTCAGGGTCATGGAACTGGTAAGTGGTGGTGCTGGGATTTGAACACAGGTAGCCTAGCTACCAGGCTCATGATCTTCTCTCTACTGAGCTGCCTAGGTAGATTTAGATTTGGGGAAGGAAGCAATCCTGCCAGTTGAGCCTTCACAGTGTTTGTGGTTTTGGTTGTTTTTTAGTTTTTTGTAACATCCCTTTCTTCCCCATAGCCCTTTTGCTCTCTCTAGGTGAAGGACGTATCTCACAGTTTGAGTTGTGGAATCCACCCCACCCTCACTTACTACTAAGAAGTGATCTTCTTAGAACAGTGCTTTTTATAGCATATTATTCTGATTAAGAAATTGGAATGGCTCTTTTAAAAGTTTAAAAACTAAATGGCCCTCAATTGAAAGTCTTCCACATGTAACTCCAACATATCTTTCCTGCCTTCTCTTCCACTGGTCCTCGTCATAAACCCCTCACTATTCCAGCAAAACTCTCTTGTTCACCCTACCCTGATCATCTCTCTGGCCATCTTCTCCATAATCCGTAGGGATGTAGGTAAGCTTACACCATTTGTAGCCTGGACTGTGTTGTTAGCCCCTAAACTTGTGGTCCTGCCTCTGTTCTTTACCATCTTCCAAACACTTTATACACTGCATACAAAAATATCCTTCTAAAACCAGTAGGAATCACTTCAGAACTCTGCTTATCATCCTTCAGTGGCTCTGAATAATTTTCATCAGTGGTTCTCAATTTGAATGTGCATTAAGAATCCCTTCTTACTTGCTAAAAAGGTAGATTCCAGGTCACATTCTGATTAATTTGTTAGGTCTGGCAAGGGATCTGGGACTCTGTTGGTTGTTTTTTGTTTTGTTTTGTTTTGTTTTTGTTTTTTAAAGATTTATTTATTTGAGAGAGAGAGAGAAAGAGTGCACACACGAGCAGGGGCAGGGGGCAGAAGGAGAGGGAGAAGTAGACTCCCTGCTGAGCAGGGAGCCCAGACTCGGGGCTCGATCCCAGCACCCCGGGACCATGACCTGAGTCAAAGGCTGATGCTTAACTGAGTCACCCAGGCACCCCTGGGACTGTGTTTTAAGAAACCTGTAGCTCCATGTTTCTTAACTTATTTGACTGACTCATAGAAGAAACAGATCTTATTTCTCCACTCAATACATACATAGGCATACATACATACATAGATAAAAACACTATTCTTACTACATGCAATATACTCTCTTATAGCTATGCCTTTGCATTCCATTTCTTCCCCCCCGCCCCCTTTTTAAGAAAATGCTTATCCAACCCACCAAATTAGTTTTATGACTGAGCAGTGGGTCCCAAATTCTTACTACATGGAATATGTTCTCTATGCCATTCCATTCTTCCATTCCTTTCCATTCCATTTCCTTCTCTCTCTCTCTTTTTTTTTTTTTTAAGAAAATGCTTATCCACATGCACCTCTATGTTTATAGCAGCATTATTTACAATAGCCAAGATATGGAGGCAGCCCAAGTGTCCCATCAACTGATGAATGGATAAGGATATATGTGTGTATATATATACACACACAATGAAATATTCAGCCATAAAAAAAATGAAATCTTGCCATTTGCAACGACATGGGTGGAGCTAGAGAGTATAATTAAGTGAAATAAGTCAGTCAGAGAAAGACCAATACCATATGATTTTACTCAAATTTGGAATTTAGGAAACAAAACAAATGAGCAAAGGGAAAAACAGAGACAAACTAAGAAACAGACTCAACTCTAGAGAACAAACTGATGGTTACCAGGGGGAGGTGCGTGGGGGAGGGTGAAGTAAGTGATGGGGATTAAGGAGTGCACTTGTGATGAGCACCAGGTGATGTATGGAATTGTTGAATCACTATATGGTACACTTGAAACTAACATAGCACTGTATGGTAACTAACTGGAATTAAAATTAGAGAAAAGAGAAAATGCTTATCCAACCACCAAATTAATTTTATGACCAGTGTGGGTCCCAAACTACAATTTGAAAATCTCTGCCCTAGATGATTCTGATGCAAGTGATCCATGGGCCACACTTTGAGCAACTCTGACCTACTTGCTAGATTCAGCTTCTCAATCATGGCACTCAAAGCCCTTCATAATCCAATCTTTGCTTTCCATTCCATCTTCACCTCTAGCTTGCACTGCCTCGACTTCCTGTCCCTCCTTCCCCTAATACTGAGTGCACACATACGTGCTTTGTTTTTGCCATCTGAACCATTTTGCCAGGTTAGAAGAGCCACATTCTTTCTTGCTACTCAGCCTTTAAATATATGCAACTCTCTTACATGGAATATTCTGATCTACCTGGTGAATTCTTCCTGTTCAGCCTTCAAGTTTAAGGTCACCTCTTTGAAGCTTTCTGTGACCTTTCCAGACAGAGCAAAATGTTTTACATATTTCTGATACGATTTGCTATAATTTTGTTTGCATGTTTCTCCTTCACTGAGTCCTGAGGCTCTGAAGGACTGTCTTCTATGTATCTCTAACACATAGCCTAGTATCTGGCACATGGTAGAGGCTTAATTAAAATTTGTTGAAAGGGTAAATGAACAAATGAATGAGTGAACATGCCTTATTTGTACTTGTCTACCCAAAATATTCAAGTTGTTTTCCTTACCTGAAATGCCCTGAAAGCCTTTTCAGCTCTCCTGAGCCAAAGGTGATATCCTCCTAATTATAACATTCACTCAGC